AGTCGGGACCTCTATATTTTGTCGGAATACATGTCTCTATTAGCTTTTCAACCTCATAGCATTCTGGTCCTTAGGTCTTCCGTACACACCTCTAATCTACTTCCTGTTTTTCTGATATATCTCACAGCAACAGCAGAAAAATTAACAGAGCTAGAGAGCCAAGTGCTGCTCTGTCGAAGAAACTTTGAAGCTTTTGATAGAAAACCACTTCTCTGGAAGTATGCCTCTTGGTAACTTTCTATCTCCTTTCTTCCAGAATGTCAAACGCCCCAAAAAGAACCACCAGGATGTCTCATAGAAAGGTATCACAGAAATTTCACTTGAATAGTCAGTTGAATTGTTTCAGTCTCTACTCGTATTTCCAGCTCTGCTCTGAGAAGAACTGGAATTGTTTTCTCTCATTTCCATAAAACCTTAAAGACCTAGTCTGTATGTAGAACGAGTATATATACCTAGAGTGGTGAAACGATTTGAAAGAAAACTGAAACTGGCGAAACGACGGATTGACACCTTGGAAAGACAATCACCCTATTCTCAACTATGCAGAGATTTTGGTGGCCATATTCCAGTTTTGGCAGGTGTTGCTATGCTCATAGCTGTGGAAGGCAATGAGGCTGCTGACTCTCTTGCAAAGGAGGGTGCTGCAAGCAGCTTCATCGTACTGGAACCTGTCATTGGTATCGCTTTAGGCTTTGCCAAACAAAGAATGAACACCTGGATGGCAAGAAGATTTGTGGAGTTCTGGCAGAATCTTCCAGGATTGGCTCACTCTAAGGCGTTTACTCACCCTTCGAAGCTTGATACTAAAAACAGTAGGGACTAACATACCTTCCATGGGTACTTGGATACAATTGCCCAAGAAATTTTGGATTATGAATAACAAATGCGCAGATGTATCGGAATATGTATTTAGTGAAGGAAATCACCAGATCGACTTTGGAGAAGTGGAGCTAGCAGCGAGTTGGAGGATATCATAGTTGGCTAGTGCAAGAAGTGACAGAAGTCCAGAAATACATGATTTTTCGATAGGAAAGAATAAACACGATATGACTTCCAATCTTTGGCGGAATGAAACCATGGAAACCTATGGATAGGTAAAGGACATCCAGACGGTTCTGAATAACTCATATTCAATAATTCTCTGATTCTTTATGATCAAGATACAGAGTGATTTATCAATTTTGATCAATTCATAATATCTGCCTCCAATTTTTCCTCAATAGAAATTGAAATCCAGGTCTGGACTTTACAAAAATAACAACGCCATGTACATCAGAATTTTGATAGTGATCACTTTTGTAAAAAGAGCAGAAAAATCAAGTCATCAGTTGAGAATATTGAAGTTGTATCAATTGAATTATCAACTTTATCTCCTTCGTTATTTTATGCAGTAACACTTATTTTTTTTTTTGGAATATTTATCTTCAAATGACCAATGAAGCACCGAAAACAACATACTCATCTGAATAAATCAATTCTAGGTTACAGATTTTTCTATCTTGGATATCAAAATACGTTTTTGATCATCTTTTGAATAATATATTGAATATTCATCAATAACTTGTACAATAAATGGTAAAATCTAGCATTGACCTTGCAATGTCCGTTGCTACTCCGGGTTATAAATGAAAATATGTTCCTTTTTTGAGTCACCATAGAAAATTGCACACAAATTGTAAAAAGCGTCAATACATTGTCTTTCAAAGTTTCTGGAATATTCTGCTTGGCATTTTACAGATAGGAGGCTGCCAAGAAATGTTAAATACAACACGACAACACCGGTTTTGTTGCCAACAGCACACCTGTGAATAACTTTATGTACAGCAGAATTGAGTGAAATAATTTGAATCAAGCAAAGGTTGAAATAGCGTTTACTAAAAATCAAAATCAGTCTTATGATTTCGGTACATACGAATCGAGAACATGACTATTTCGAAATAAAACAACGTTTCTACAACGAATAGGAACGTTGGGAGGTGTGAATGTTTCGCATTCCATTTCTACATATTTATTTTCCTAATGAAATTTACTAATTTTTTTCAAAAGCGTATAAATAGCAGCAGCTCTCCAAATAAACTGTATATCAAACAGAATGCTTGATGTAAGAGTAAGCTAAACGAAAACTATTAACTTGGAGATGGATCACTGACTGCCATTGTTTCCATAGAACTTCTCATGCTCCATAGAATGTTCCTGAATATTTAGAAGATTGCAAATTATTTTAGAAAATGTATCAGTTTCCCATTCCAAAAATTTCTTAATCTAACTCAGAAACTTAAATAATAGTACAGATTGAACATTCTAAGAGGATCGAATTTGAGATCAGCGTTTCCATGCATTTGAACCTATGAATTAGTGCTACTGCAATCATTTTACAAGCGTTTTACGGCGTCATCAATAGCAAAATCACCATTTTACAGCGTCATCGATATCTTGTAACTGATTCTAATTTGTTTGAACCATACCATACCAGTTTTCTCTCAATTATTAGGTATAACCGTCTATGCATGTAACAATTGCATAAAACTGTGCCCTCCTAAGGATATTTAGTGCCACGTTAGCATATTTCCCAGAACGAGAAAATGTTTGTTTAATCTAGCAAACTTATTTGTTCAATATAGCATCATCGATAGCGTTTAACTGATTTTAATGTGAACCATGTGCCTACCAATTTTTCCATGACCGTCTGTCTATGCATGTGACAATCACATGTTACAGAAAAATATTTGTTTAATCCAGCAAAATCAAAATTTTACAGCGTCACCGATACCATTTTACAGCGTCACCGATACCATTTTACAGCGTCGTCAATAGCAAAATTACTATCTTACAGCGTCATCGATAAATTGTCATCATTTTACAGCGTCATGGATAAATTGTCATCATTTTACAGCGTCATCGATATCTTTTAACTGATTTCAATTTGAACCATTTGCCTACTAATTTTTTTCCAATCATTATGTGTGACCGTCTATGAATATAACAATCACATAAAACCGTGCGCTTTCGATAATGGTCAGTGCCACGTTAGCAAATTTTGTAGAACAAGAAAATTATTTGTTCAATCTAGCAAAATCATCATTTTACAGAGTCACCGATACCATTTTACAGCGTCATCGGTAATTTGTTATCATTTTACAGAGTCGTCGATAGCTTGTAACTAATTTTAATTTGAACCATGTGCGTACCAATTATTTTCAATTATTATGTGTGATCGTCTATGCATGGAACAATTTCTTGAAACCCTGCGCCTCTGAGAAGTTTCAGTGACACATTAGCAAATTTTGCAAAACGAGAAAAATATTTGTTTAATCTAGCAAAATCATTATTTTATAGCGTCATCGATAGTATTTTACAGCGTCGTCAATAGAAAAATCGCCATTTTACTGCGTCATTGGTAACTTGTTATCATATTACAGAGTCGTCGATAGCTTGTAACTAATTTTAATTTGAACCATGTTCCTACCAATTATTTTCAATTATTATGTGTGACCGTCTATGCATGGAACAATTACTTGAAACCCTGCGCTTCTGAAGAGTTTCAGGGACACATTAGCAAATTTGGCAGAACGAGAAAAATATTTGTTCAATCTAGCAAAATAATTAGTTTATAGCGTCATCGATAGCATTTTACAGTGTCATCGATAGCATTTTACAGCGTCATTAATAGCAAAATCGCCGTTTTACTGCGTCATTGGTAACTTGTTATCATTTTACAGAGTCGTCGATAGCTTGTAACTAATTTTAATTTGAACCATGTTCGTACCAATTATTTTCAATTATTATGTGTGATCGTCTATGCATGGAACAATTTCTTGAAACCCTGCGCCTCTGAGAAGTTTCAGTGACACATTAGCAAATTTTGCAAAACGAGAAAAATATTTGTTCAATCTAGCAAAATAATTAGTTTATAGCGTCATCGATAGCATTTTACAGTGTCATCGATAGCATTTTACAGCGTCATTAATAGCAAAATCGCCGTTTTACTGCGTCATCGGTAACTTGTTATCATTTTACAGAGTCGTCGATAGCTTGTAACTAATTTTAATTTGAACCATGTGCGTACCAATTATTTTCAATTATTATGTGTGACCGTCTATGCATGGAACAATTTCTTGAAACCCTGCGCTTCTGAGGAGTTTCAGGGACACATTAGCAAATTTGGCAGAACGAGAAAAATATTTGTTTAATCTAGCAAAATCATTATTTTATAGCGTTATCGATAGCATTTTACAGCGTCATCGATAACAAAATTTTCATTTCACTGCGTCATCGGTAACTTGTTGTCGTCGTCGATAACTTGTAACTAATGTTGATTTGAACCATGTGCCTACCAATTTTTTTTCAATTATTATGTGTCACCGTCCATGTCTGTAATAATTACTAGCAAAATCATTATTTTACAGCGTCATCAATAGCATTTTACAGCGTCATCGACATCAAAATCACCATTTTAATGCATCATCGATAAGTAGCCATTATTTCAAAGCGTCATCGCTAGCTTGTTACTAATTCTCATTTGTTTAAAATATATACCTACCATTTTTTCCAGTTTACATGGGTGGGTTTGTATTTATGCAACAATTACATAAAACTCTGTATTTCCAAGGGTTTCAGTGCCACCTTTGCAAATTTCGAGGCAAATTTCACATGACGAGGAAAATATTTGTTTGATCTAGACAAAAACTAAAGAATCTTTATCACTGATAAGATTATATCTAAAAAAAGTGTCGCGCTTACTTCCAAAAAAAGTATCCTTATAAACTGGTATCGCAAAACGAAGCCCGTCGGAATGCACACTCGCCATCTGCGCTGGGCGTCGTCTCCAAACGGTCCTCGACCTCTCCAACTTTCGGCGGATTGGGGTAGTCCCCCATCAGTGCCGTCCTCCCTCCCGTCTGCCACCCGCCCGCGGTGGGGAACAGGTATCTCTTGAATAATATCCCCCCGCCCCGACCAGACGTAGCAGCGACTCAATAGGTTTTCCCGTGTTGTTGCAGGTGAAACCATGGACAGCGGGGACTGCGAGACAGAGGAGGATTCTGCTCCAGAGGCGTGCGTCTCGCCCGAGGGAGGGCCGCTCTTGCCCAGGTGAGTTGATTTTTGCCCTTAATGCTCTTTCATTCATTCATTTATAGATCCAAAATTTAACAAGCATTCTGGTGAAAAAACAGACATTTACCGATTGCGAAACAATTGTTTTAGCCTAACAAAGTGACATTTGAACAGATACAGAATCTCAATTCTATAACTGATTAACTTAGTGCTGACAAAACATGACGTTTTCGGTTTATTTCAAATGATGTGTTTTTTTCAATGCGACACCCGTATATATCTCTTCAATGGTCGTCTCATTGCTACCAGAGGACCAGTTTATTGGCCTCCTCGTTCTCCGGACATTACACCCTTGGATTTCTATTCGTATGGATAGCAATAACGAATACCACATGTAGCATCGACGGTCGTACCCTTTCAAATGCTACAAGAAAGGTTTTTGAGCGTGCCCAAAATTGTATTTAGCAACGAAGGGATGTATTTGAACATTTGATTCAATTGTTATAACAATTCAAGCAAAGAAGATTGCAGCCGATGTGTATTATTTATTTTGAGTTTAAATGTCATGACAAACTTGCCAAAAAATAAAAAAGGTGCATAACTCGATCGTGTTTTGTTTCAGGATAAAATTTGCAACATCTTTTTGAGTTCAGAAAAGAGTGAATCAGGGGAAAACACTAATAGTTCTTTAGTTAAACCAGGATTCGTTAGAATTTATTATTCCTGTTATTGAAGAGTGTTTTCCTACTTTGGTGTTCGAACCAGCAAATCCACATTTATTTCTTGTGTTTCTCTGGAGTACATGAAAGTATATTTGACCAATTTTATATTGGCCAAACTGGAAAATATATTACAAAAGAATAAAAGAGCGTAGAAGTAGTTTTTTCGGATAGTATCAGTTGCAATCTATATTTTGATTGAAGGGCATAAAGTCGATCAGTTGGAATTTAGAAATTTTCCTGTGATGAAGTTGATCATTAGTCTTACTAATACATCAATCATAAAACATTCAACGCACTAGCGGGGCTAGTATTGAACCTTGAGGTACACCAGATTTTATGTACGGAGAAAATTGTTGTTTTTCTACATGGCTGTGACTTGGCAGGTAAGAATTACATCAATCAATGGAAACTCGTCTCTTTAAAGTGTTTGCCTACGATAAATAAAAAAATACTGTGTTGAAAGGATATAACAAAGGTTTTAAGCTCTCACTACAGTTCTATTTGTGTCTGGTACTCCGATACAAGTTGATGGGTAGAGTCTTTAATGTTTCCGACATGAAATGACTAAATACTTGATGATGGAAGATGGAATAGCGAACAATATAGGTATGATTACGTTATATCGTGGTAATTGAACATTAAAGTGCGAGTTAATTGTAGGTGTCCCATAATCACGTTCATTTGACATTGACATTGACGTTATTGTGAACTTGTATTTAGTATCGAAGTATTTTTTTTTCAGGTAATGCAGAGAGACTAAATGAACAATAAATGTATCATTTCGCCACAAGACATCAAAAGTATATCAATAAATTCCCATTTCTCAACCCAAACTGGTTGATCGATTGGGATCACTCAAAACTAACAAGTTTCAACGAGTACATTCATTTGAAAGTACAATTATTGAAGACGTAATGTTGTAATGTATGAACAGAGTACGTTAAAATGTCTGAGCTTGTATTTTTCAACAATAGAACTTCATTGTTGAAATATATCGTACCTTGACATGAGACTGCAGAGCTGGCACCCAACTTACTTGACGCTACTAGATGCATTAACTGTACGTCCCGTATTCTTTTCGATTCTGATAAAACTGCTACTATTGGGAATAATATTTCGATTCGAACTGAAAATGTCGAATTATATTGGTATATTAATAAATTATTGGTATTCGAAGTGGAGTTTGAATTGTGTTGTTGTCGTTCATTCAAATTAGATCAATTTTGTTACTCCATGCATGGTTATTTCATAACTGACAATTTTATTGCTGTTTTAGTGGCATAGCTTTCAGTTTTTCCATCATTTTATCAGTTTGAACGAAATAATCGTAGTAAAATACTGTGTTGGCAGCCTAGCCTTCAATTTGTTCATCATTTTCTCGCTTTGAAGGAAATAACCTTTGTATAAGCTAGGTACTGGCTCGATTTATATTCAAAATTCTAATTTTTCATTATACATTTGAATGAGGATGTGGTACATGTATTTTGGCGGATGCGCTGCATAAATCTGGCGCCTTCGCCAAAAATTTTGTCGCCTCAAACCAAGACAAAACAGCCTCAAGCCTGGGCAAAACAAAGCATTTTGAAGATATTCCATTTCAAAGTACAAAAATGGAATGATTTAAACGAGTGTATTTCATTTAATCTAATTTAGAGACAAGTTTTGATGCTAAAACTCTATCATGAAGAGCTATTCGATAATTATATTCCAAATCTGTGCATCATACTAGCCATTTTGTAGCAGATGCCACTGTTGCTAACTCGGAAACGCTAATACCCACAAGGTCGGTTGAACCGGACGAAAGTTTTGTATTTTAGGGAACTAGAATAGTCTTTTTTCAGATATTGGTGGTAGTTTTTGAAGTATTCGCCAAAAACTACAATTGTCCAATTTCGTTTCTTGGCTCTACCGCTTCCATTTCGAATGCTATAAAAAAGGCAGATAAACTTTCAATACTGTTTCACATTTGTTATAATCTGATATAAACCAATTTGCAATGCGTCGTTTCGTTCATTAGATTTACCATCAACTTCATTTCTTAAAAAAAGGACCTTTATTGTCAAACATGTGGCAACAAAAATCGGTCAAAAAAACTAGAGGTCCGTATTTGAAAAAAAAATATTAAGGATGAAATCTAATGAACGAAACGTCGCGTTGTAAATTGGTTCATATCAGATTATAACAAATATGAAACAGTAATCAGGAATATATCGTAGGTATCTCAAATTTCAATACCTTGTAAAACGTGTTACCTCAACTAATTATTTTAAAAATGTTATATTCACCAGGATATTTGCCATCAATTTCATCGCCAACTTCAGCTTCTGCAGCTCCTTGTACTGTACGAAGCAGATGATTTTCATGTGCGTTCCTCAAATTGTAGAGTATTTTCTGCTACAAAGCCATCTCAATTAATCTTTTTATTATTGTCAATTTTGTAAGTGCCTCTTCCTTACCATTTTTCATTTTCATAGTCATCCTTTCATCAAACAAAATTTTAACAAACCTCACTTTGTTCTTCTCCGACTTTTTGTGATGCCTCAGAACCAGAATAGTCACTAATTTCGTTGCATTTGCTGCCAAAGCCATCGGACAGCATACCCAAATGAATCACCTAGTAGATATTTCAACTTGATTGTAGATACTTCAAGTTCATAGTACCTACTTCTATCAGTGTAGTATATTTTTTCCACTTAGCAGGTTCTCAAGTATCAAGTTGTTCAAAATATTTCGTCTGTAATATATCAGTAAATAGTTATTTAATTTGATCCAAATAAGTTTAATTTGAATCACTGAACTGCCAACGAACGTAAAACAAGTCGATTAATTCCGTCAGCATGGAAACTGGGTTATCTGGGTTCCATGAAGTCGTCGAAGGACTTTTTTGACTGGTCCGGATTTTCTTGGGAATATTGCTTCTAAATGTTCCCTTACTATTACTGCATTAAGGGGAGGAGCGCCGTCCTGTTGAAAATATTGTATTTCATGGCGGATGAAGATACATTCCACTATTCAAATGATCATCGTAAAAAGGGCCAAGGATCTTTGTTCCCACAGTTCCCGAGCAAACATTTATTCCAAACCTTTCTTGGAAATTGGTTTCCCTATATAAATGTTCATTTGTATTATTCCACCTATAATGGATATTTCTGTTAAACCAACCATTGTTGGTGAATTTTGATTCGTCCGTCCATATAACTTTTTCACAAATATTTCCAACTTTCCTATTTCTACGTCTTAACCACTTCTCAAATCGTACTCTCCTTTCGTAATACCTTTCATTGAGGTGATGAACTTTGCGTATCCTGTAGCATTTATATTTGTTCTTTTTCAAAAGAGTTCTGGTGGATTTTACAGAAATCCCCATTTCGTGGGCAAGTTCTTGCAAAGAACAATCTTGATTAGCATAATTGTTGTAACTGGCCAATCCTAAATAAAAGAAAAGATGTTTATGTGGTGATATTTTCAGTAACTATACATTTTCTTGTTTTCTTTCTGTCAAATGCACCATAGTTCCTCAAATTTCTTTCTAATCGTCCAAACATTTCGATGTTCGGTATGTGACGATTCGGGTAAAGCTCAACATATATATATATTCCTTTAAAACAACGATGAAAATAAAAATACACAACAATAAAAATTAATTGGCGCTCCGGGGCGACTTCATTGATTCCAGTGGCGCATTTGCTTTTTCAGCTGCAGGAAAACCCGGAAAAACCTGCAGCACCACATCATCTGAAGATCTTGATCTAACAATGTCCTCTCTCTTATAAAACAAAATGTAGGGTGTCTCCAGAGGCTCCAATAAATTCAATGCATCGCCAGAACACTTCGTGACACGACTATCGTCAAACTTAAACCAGTCCGTATCGTCTTTGACAATAATGACCAAATTCAACGCCAGAACCAAAGTGAACAATGACTGCATGAATATTATAATAGTTGTCTGCTAGGTTGAAATGTTCATCTATTTCGAACCTTCCAAAGAGTTTCTTGCTTCCGTTAGATATTGGGTCTTGTTTGAAAATCATCAGTGTTATCATTAGATTGACTGGTGCCTCAGCTATACTTGTTTCCTCATAACAGTCAGTTAGTTTGGCGCATGTTTGACAATACAGTCGATCATCACCTGTTAAAAATTCCATTTTCAGATGATTTAACAATAATCTTTGCAAATACTGGTTATTAGTCATATTAGGAAAAGCTAGATGAAGTTCCAGAAATTCACATAAGTTTTCGGTACTTCTTGAACATTTACCACAAAATAAACAAGTGAGAATTTTTCCAGCAAAAGATTTACAAACACAAGACGAG